GCCCCACCTCGTCCGGAGCACGCCTGCCACACGTGCTGGGGCGTGGCGGAGCAGCCAAGTGGGCGGTGGATGGTGGCGCGGCGCGGTCTTACGCGGCGAGGCAGCGGCTCCCCTCCGGCGCGGCGCGGTCTTACCCAGCGAGGAGGCGGCCCTCCTCCGGCGTAGGCTGCCGGGCACAGTTGTTAAGAGTCTTTATTCCATACAGCTATCAAGTATTCACAAGCTCCAAAACACACACTAAAGGCAGAAAGTTGACCTCTCACTCTGACAAATCTCCCAAGCTCTGCTTATGAACCCTTTGGGGCTGGTCTTGGGGTGTGGGCACTATGGAAGCAGTCACATTGCCATTCTTCCCATCGAGTCTCTAATTGGTCCAGCTGGCGAGTGCATCGATGGGCCTGTGCATCCATATTACTTGAGGTGTCAAGTTCTCCTCCTGAGAATTCCTCCCCAGCCTGTTCTCCATTGGCTTCTTTCCCACAGTCAGGAATGGGAAGGGGCTCAGTGGTTGTCCTTGAAGTGCTTTGATCCTGCGCTCTCTCGGGCTGGCTTTCTGGGTTGGGCAGCTGGGGCCTCACTAATCTCAACAACTGCAATATCAGAGTGAGAACCCAGTAGTGGCTCAAACTATCAACTCCCCCTCCTCTGAGTCTAAGCCATCATTCCTACCAGAGCCCTCTATCTCTTGTGCATGCCTGGGACTCTCATCTGAGTGTGTGCACACGACATTCTGTTAGCTCAGACAGGGAGTCTGTTGAGCAACAGGGTGGCAATACACCAACAGAATCCCCAATCTTTCCTGCTTGCCCTATGCATAATGGAAACATTCCAGAAAAGAGGTGAGATGCCAGGGAGCCAGCAGAGTCCATGGAAACTGATTGCTCCTTCACCCTCAAATCTACTCTGATACTGAACCAAGTGTCCCAGTGGGACTAATTCCTTCCCTTTTGCCTGCCCGGATTAACTGCCAACAGATCATGAAAGAGAAGAGTCTTTTTCTGTGCTGATCTGGGATCTAAGAGCAGCATGTGCTTATAATGCTTTCAATATTTGAAAGGTTAGCATGTAGATGCCACATTTAAATGTTTACTTATTTGACCCTCTTTTGTTGAAGCCTATGTATAATAGCTAGAAAGTTGTATACATTTATTTCAAATACATATATGTATATTTGAAAAATGAAGGGGGGAATAAACAATACCCTAAAAATAATTGTACGTTTGCATGGATATAACATAAGCGACTCCTTCATGGGTGTGTTGGAAATGTCCATGGGCACTAACACTGGGGAGCCCTGTAGTAGAACTTCTTGTGCCTTTGAAAGCTGGGTATGATACTGGAAAACAGCCGTAGCTTTCTCCATGGTTTCATTCCAGGGCTAGATGTCAGGGCCGTCTTAACAGCATTATGGACCCTGGGCAAAGCAGTGTACTGGGGCCCCTATGACAAATACATTTGGAAGTTTTCCAATTTTCCAAGGGTTAACATACACAGATTAGTATGGGACCCATGGGCAAGTGCTGATCAGGCCCATGCATTGAGACGGCCCTGCTAGATGTGACATCTGTGACACAACTTCTTCTTAGGCAGTAGCTGGAGCTACAGGAGCTATGTCTCAGTATAAGCAACTAGCCCCATTCAAGAACAGTTGGATTCATGCTGCTTATTGCTACTGCTTGCCTTGATCACTTGAGCTCCAGAGTGGGGATGTGGAGTGATTTGGGTCTGGGTTCCTTCCTTTTTCCTAGGAGGGAGCAGAGTTCCTTGCCTCATTCCAGCATGAAGATAAAAGGGCTGTCATCAGGGGGTGAGGTCATGCCACCTGATGTCATCCAATCAGCCATGTGTCTGGTGGAAGGCAATCCTACTCCTAGCACCCCTTAAAACCTCTGTTTTAGTGTGAACATGAAGTACTATTTTATCCTCTGCTATTTGAACATGTTTTATTTGACATATTTGCACTTTTCAACAGATTAACCAAGCATTTCAGGGTACGCATTTAAAGAAAAAATTGATCAGAACACGTGTGGTAAGACTAAGGTAAGTAAAATGATCATGTTTCTGGCATGGGTCCCCATGCTGAAGGACCCACGTCAGCGAGGAAGTTGGAGAGGAACTTAAATTAATTAAGTTTACTCTAGGTGGCGGTATGTGTCACCACTGGTAACTTGCTGTTGAATTCCCTGAGGTGAGCTATTGCCCCTGCTTGTTCTTACTTTGCTTATGTTGTGGAGATAGTTGCTATTGCAGGTTTCTACTATAGCACCCAATTTATTTTAACACATGGGACCTACAACATATTCATAGTGTGAGGTGTTCCTGTTCATTGTGAAGGCCAGCCATTCTTTCAGGTTATGCCACACCATGTCCCTCTGGTTTTCTGTTTCAGTTCTCCACACCCCACTTGCAAGCTGAATTGTATGGTCACTAAGTGTGCTAAGTCCCCAATACCACATTGTTTAAGGGGGGGTTGCCCACCCCTCTATATTTCTGCCCATTGCGGACCTTTAATGTTCTCCAAAGTAGGTTGATACCTTCCATTTTTATCTCAGTAGCCTCATTTTGGCTTTATTGGCCACAAACATTTACTACATGGATTCACTTTTAGTATATATGATAGATTGCTTTAATATTCAATGTATACGGTGTTCTTCCTCCAAAGAGAAAAGCTTACAGATAGTTCCTGGACAATAGAACTCCACCTGGGGGAATAGCATGGATTGAAATGAAATAAACAATGATAATATACCATGTCTACAACTTCCCCCATCCAGATGCTTTCTGGATGTGTTGGCCAGGAATTATGGGAATTAGCAACATAGAAAAAATTAGAAGGGGCCTCCCGGGCCATCTAGTTTGACTCCCAGTTCCAGCTGGCTCCGCTCATGTAATCCCCAACATGTGGTGGTCCAATCTTTCCTTCAAAACCCTCACTGATGGGGCCTCAACCAGCTTCCGTGGAAGCCTATCCCATACCCTAGGGATCCTAACCACCAGGAAGTGCTTCCTGACATCCAGCCTGAAGCCTGGTTCCTTAAGCTGGCTCATGCTCAGCCTGATGTTGACCAGTACCCCAAGATCCCTTTCGCAAGTGCTGCTCTCCAGACACTTGTCCCTCATCCTGTTCCTGTGGTACCTGTTCCTGTGTTCCAAGTGCAAAACCTTGCACTTATCCACATACAATGCCATCCTGTTGTCCCCCACCAACTTCCACAGCCTGTCCAAATCCTTCCGAATATAAGTAAGGGCACCTGGGGAAATGACCATGGCAAGACCAGTGAAAATGCAAATGCTAGGGACCAGAGTTCTGCCCTGTGGACCATGTTATTGGAGCTCAGGCTGAGCTCCTTGGAAAATGCGTGGGATGAAAACATAATGAACACCGTAGAAGGTAGGTGGTGGTGGGGGTGGGGAATCTCTAGTGGAGTCCCTTCCATTTATCAGGGAGTGCTGTCTGTGGCAGTATTTATGTAAAACACATTTACCATGGTTGGTGCATGCCAGTGAATACAGTGCAGCTCCTGCTGTGCTGAAAATGTGGTATGTACACATATCATATCCAATGTAGGAGGAGTTGGAAAGGGGAGGTGTGCAGGGAAATGGCCCTTTTAAAAAGCTGCTATGCACAAGTGCAAAGGAGGGAACAAGCAGAAGTTGTGTTTTTCTGAAAGGGAGGAAATTGACAACTTCTCTTACCCCCTCACAAAAAATCATGAGGACGAACAGGTAGGGAGAGAAGAGGGGGAGGCTTTCTGTGGTTCTGTTTACTGCCATCTTCCCATTTCCCATGGGGTGAAGGTAATAGGATCAATATTCTCATTCTCCTCATTCCCCACTGAACTTGGAAGCAGTTCTTGAAAGCAAATGCAGTCCCTTTCCTTTGCTGACCTTTCTAAGAGGAAGCACCACTAAAATCAGTGCGATTTACTTCTGAGTTAATGAACTTCAAGATAATATAATTTGCTTCTCTGTAAACAGATAGTTGTTCCTTATAGGAGAAAGGAGGGGAGGGGAGCGGGAATGTAGCACTGAATTCACTCTATATTCACTAGTAAATCAGAAGGAGAGAGAAACCATGGGCAGGGGAGGGTTATCTCCTTATAAGTGCTGCTCTTTCACTGAAGCTCAGTAGGACATTGTCAGGAACTAAGGCATCTGTAGGACTCCATCTGCTGGCCAAGCACCAGAATTATAGCTCTGGTAGTTGAGGATTGCTCCCTTAATCTACTATATCACTATATTATTATTATTATTATTATTATTATTACTGCTACTATTACTATTGCTGCTACTGCTACTACTACTGGCATTTATATCCCATCCTATCACCAAGCGCTCAGGACAGCTTACAAAATATAAAAGTACAATATAAAATATAAAAATAGAATATAAAACATCAATTATTAAAACAATATAAAACACATCACAACTTAAGAAAAATGAGGAAAAAATAGAAAGTGCGACTGTGAAGGGAAAAATCCTAAAACATCTAAAAGTGGTGGTTACTAAAATAGTGGTTGAATGAAAATGTCTTTACCTGGTGCCGGAAAGAGTGTAACCTCAGCGCCAGGCAGACCTCTCTGGGGAGCAGATTCCATAGTCTGGGCACCACTGCAGAGAAAGCTGTCCTCCGGGTAGACACCCCCTGTACTTCCTTAAGAGAGGGTTCCCAGAGCAAGGACTCTGCTGCCAATCATAAGGGGCATGACAGCTTGTAGGGAAGGAGGTGATCCTTCAGGTATTCAGGATCTAAGCCATTTAGGGCTTTATAGGTTAATATTAGCACCTTGAATTGGGCCCAGACTTCAATTGGGAGCCAGTGTAGCTGATAAAGGACTGGTGTTATATGAGAATAATGACCCATCAGCAACCTGGCAGCTCTATTTTGTACCAGTTGAAGTATCCGGACTGTTTTCAAGGGCAGCCCCACGTAGATCGTGTTACAATAATCCTATTGGAAAGTTTTCAGAGCGTCACTGTTTTCGGACAGTGCTTGTCCAGGTAAGGATGCAGCTTATGGATCAGCTGGAGCTGAAGGAAAGTGCTCCTCGCCACCGCCGTCACCTGGATTTCCAGGGATAGCTCTGGGTCAGGGAGCACTCTCAAGCTGCAGACCCTGTCCTTTAGAGGGAGTGCTACCCCATCCAGGACAGGACCAAAGTCACTTACCTGGAAACCTGAACCGCCCACCAACAGGATCTCTGTCTTACCTGGACTGAGTCTCAGTTTATTGGTCCTCATCCATTCCATTACCTCGGCCAGGCACCGGTTCAGGACAGCCACTGCCTCACTTGGATTAGATGTAAATGAGAGGTAGAGCTGGATGTCATCAGCATACTGATGACTCCACAGCCCAAACTCCTGATGACCTCTCCCAACGGTTTTATGTAGATGTTAAAAAGCATGGGGGACAAAATAGAGCCCTGTGGTACTCCATGGCATAAATGCCACAGCGCAGAGCTATAGTCCCCCAGCACCACCTTCTGGAATTGACTGGCCAGATAGGAGTAGAACCACAGCCAAGCAGAGCCCCCAACTCCTAACCCGGCCAGCCTTTCCAGGAGGGCCGCGGAGAGGTCCAGGAGCACTCTGCTGCAGCCCTTCCCCTGCAATCGCCACAGTTGGCGCCCGCTTGCCCCTCTCACACAGCTGCCACCTGTGCAGGGGTGAAGGCAGTGAGGGCGGGGCCTGCGGAGGTCTTGCTAGTGGTGTGATTGGCGGCGGCAGCGTTCCAGCTCCACAGCGCGGCTCAGCAGCAACAGCAGCAGCAGATCAGCAGGTGGGTGATGGTCATGGGCGGTGGTGAGTCCCCATCATTTATTGGACTCTTATTTGCTTTGTGGCTCTACTTTTCCTGGCCTGTTGAATGGGACTAGGCTTAACGTTTGGACATTGACGAAATAATGTTGCCAGTGGGTCCTGGTGCATGTGTCTTTTGTTCCATTGTCCACCTCCCAGGTGTTGAAGGATGTTCGCTTGCACCACCACTCCCCTGCAGCCTGCCTGTCTTCTTAAGCCACTCCTCCTTGGTGCAAAACAGGATCATAAGTTTAGTTTACTTAAGAAAACCACAACACAGCAAAACATTGTGACATAAGTGGTCTGAGGAAATAATAGGACATAATGGCAGAATCATAGAACAGTAGAGTTGGAAGAGACCATGAAGTCTATTGGGTCCAACCCCCTGCTGTTGCGGGACACCAAGTTACACCATCCTACTCAGATGGCTGTCTGGTTTCTTTTTGAATTCTCTAGTGTGGGAAAGCCCACCACCTCTCTAGGCAGCTGCTTCCACTGTTGTAGTGCTCTGATGGTGAGGAAGCTATTCCTGATGTCCAGCCTGAATCAGGGTTGTTGCAACTTGAATTGATTATTCCGTATCCAACATTCTGGTATCATTGAGAATAGATCTTGACCTCCTTCTTTGTGACATCCTTTGAGGTACATATATAGTGATACCATGTCATCCCTCAGTCTTCTCTTCTCAAGACTGAACATACCCAGTTCTCCCAGTCTCTCTTCATACGACAGTGCTTCCAAACCCTGGATCATTTTTGTTCTCCCTCTGGACCCTTTCTAATTTTTCTGTATCTTTCTTAAATCATGGTGCCCAGAACTGGACATAATATTCCAGATGAGGTGTGAGGAGTATAGAGGAACTACTACTTCTCATGATTTGAAAGAAGTACTTCTGTTAATACCAAAATAGCATTTGCCCTTTTCATGGCTCATCACATTGTTGTCTCATGCTTGTCCCCAATTACTTTGAGATCTTTTTGTTTTCCAGTTCTGTTGAGCCATATATTCCCCATGTTGTATCGGTGCATTTGGTTTCTTTTTCTGAGGTGGAGAATTTGGCCCTTGCCCTTGTTGAATCTCATTCTGTTGCTTTGAGCCTAGTGTTCAAGTTTATCAAGATCACCCTGGATTTTCATTCTGTCTTCTAGGGTGTTTGCTATTCTACCCAGTTTTGTATTGTTTACAAATCTGATTATCTTTCCTTGTACTTCCTCATCTAAATCATTACTAAAATGTTGAAGAGCACTGGGCCCAGGACTGAACCCTGTGGCACCCCACTAGTTACTTCCATCCAATTTGAGAAGGTGCCATTGATGAGCACTCTTTGTGTCCGATTTAGCAGCCAATGTTGGACTATTGGCTGCTAAATAGTTTTTTCATCTAGTCCAGTTCTTGCAAATTCGCTTATCAGAATGTTGTGTGGTGCTATGTTAAAAGTTTTACTAAGTTCTAGGTAGATTATGTCCACAGTGTTCCCTTTGTCCATTTTGGAGGTTACCCAGTCAAAAAAGGAGATTAAATTAGTCTGACAGGATTTACTTTTTGATGAATCCATGCTGGCTCATATTAATCACTGCATTTACTTTCAGATGCTTGCAGATTGATTTTTTAATAATTTGCTGCAGAATTTTTCCAGGGATTGATGTCATACTAACTGGTCTGTAGTTCCCAGGTTCATCCCCCCACCCCTCTGCCCTTTTTGAAGATAGGAACGTTAGCCCTTCTCTAGTCATCTGGCACTTCTCCTGTTTTCCAAAATTTATCAAAGATAATAGCCCATGGTTCTGAGAGTTTCTCTATTTGCTCTTTTATGACTCTGGGATGGAGTTCATCGGGCCCTGGAGATTTGAACATGTTCATTCTACCTAGGTATTCCTTGACCATTTGTTTGTCAATCTTGGGCTGCTATCTCTTACTTCCAGCTTGTAGTTCCCCTTGGTTGTAGATTTCCTTGTGGAAGAAGATTGAGGCAAAGTAGAATTGAGCACCTCTGCCTTTTCCTTATCATCTGTTATTACTCTGCCATCCACTTGCACACCCTTCTCTTTCTCATGTCTTTTGTTCTGGATGTATCTGAAAAAGGCTTTCTTGTTGCTTGCAAGTTGCTTTTTGAAGGTTGCATCCTTGCCCTCTTTTTGACTGGGTGGTCGGTAATACATGCCAATGACTATGTTTTTCTTATTTTTTGTTCCTTTAAATTAAGTCAGATGCTTTTGATGGGGCCACTAAGTTTCTCTTCTTGTATTTCTTTGCAGGTGTATGTGTCTCTTATGTATAGTGCAACTGCACCTCCTTTCTATCTTTCTTGAATAGGTTGCATCCATCAGTTGTAGAGTTCATCCCACCAAGTTCCAGTTATTTCTATAAGATCGTAATTGCCCTCATGTACTATGAGCTCAGGTTCCTGTTGTTTGTTTCCCATACTTTGGGCAATGGTGTAGAGAAATCAAAGTTCATTCTCACCATGTCCTGGTTTTCTTCCTACATTTTTGGGAGACTGGTACTGGGCCCTGCTTGAGGTTTTTTCTGTACAAGTTTTTGCCAGATGATGGTATTTCATGCTGCACATCTCCCTCCCCTATAAGTTTCAGTTTAAAGCTCTCCTGATGGACTTTTTCATGCAGTGGCCAAACATCTGCTTCCGTTTCTTTGTGAGGTGCAGCCCATCGTTTGCCAACAGTCCATCTTCCAGGAACCTTAGCCTGTGGTCCCAGAATCCAAATCTCTCTTTACGGTACCACCATCATAGCCAGTCATTCACTTGAAGGATTTTTCTTTTCCTAACAGTTTCTCTTCTACATGCTGGTAGGATTGAGGAGAACACCATCTGGGGCCCAATGTTTTTTTTTCCCTCCCTGAAGCTTCAAAGTCTGATGTTATTTCAGTGAAGCTTCTCATGGCAGTGCTGTTAGTTCCCACATGGAATAGACAGAAGGAATATTTGTCAGTGGGTTGTATGAGTTGCGTGAACTTGTTGGTTATATCTTTAATCTTGGCACCAGGGAGACAGCATACTTGGCAATTCTCTGGGTCATCACAAAAGACATATTATTCCATAACCTGAGGAGGAACTTTGGGATGAGCATTGTGTGCATTACAGTAAAAATGTCTAGGTTAGATGTCCCCTAATTATGTGTCTGGAAGCTGCTTGGATGAGAAGTTGCATCCTTGTAAATCACTGTATACTCTTTGAATGAAAGTGTCATAAAAAACCACAAGTCCCTAAGAGGACCCCAGGAGTTCTCAGATCTCCTAAAAATGCTTTTGTGCTAAGTTTCATCATAAACAAGAAAGCAGATATTCTTTTCTCATTTGTGCATAGCATCTGAACAGAATTGAACAGCTGGAAGCATTTTTATGCAGGCATGTTGGTTGGTTGAGAGTGAATAATGTGCACAAAAGCTTTACTCTGATAGATGAGTGTGTACAAAAACAACTACATCATGATACTTAGTTGGGTGCTATTTGATCTTCTACCTGGATATGTCTTTTGTTGAAGATGAGAATATGTATTGTCATCAAAACCACACCCAACCATTTCAGTAGGACACTGAGAAACTAGCTGTTACATGTGATTAACTGCATTAGAAGTGTTAATTCAAGGCCTGTGCGGGTGCTTGTTTGCATAGTTATGTTTGAAAAAGAATACCAATTTTGTGATCTAATGTGAAGTTCCACACATTGTAAATTCTAATTCCAGTTCTGATAAGAGGAAACAGAAACTGCAATTTGCTGAATTAAGTGCTCTAGTCTTATATTTGTTCACCTGGGAGTAAGTCCTGCTGAATTTAATGGGACCAACTTCTGAGTAGGACTGCACAATAATTCATCCGTTCCTGTTAACGTAAACTGTTCCTTTTTGCTGAACAGCTATTTAGATTTTAATTCATGCAACTGATTATATTAGCTGTCTTGCAATTTCTTTTGAGGGGTGAGATATAAATGCTAATGATAAATAAATGAATGAAACAGGTGTGTGCAGAAAGATGAATTTATATTTATACACACTTTCTGGTCAATTGCAACTTCACCAGTGACTAAAGATTATAGTTGTTTGGGCTGAACTATCACAGCTTGCCTTACATAACAATGTTTATAGTTTGTGCAGAGAATTCCCTCATTGCTTCACCAGAACTACAATTCCCAAGTTCCTTAAGTAGTAACCAGGACTAAAAGATGCTGCAGGAGACAAAGAGATATGATCCAAAGGATATGATATACTGGGCAAATCTGCTGCATAAATCTCTTTGAAATGAATGGGATCTGTGCAAAAGCAAGTCTGGAGGACATTAAAAATGTCACCTCCCTGCAGTTTGCTGCCCCATTCATTAGAGGTCCAATCTGGTTATTTTTCGGGGGGAGAAATTCTTCATTTGCTTGTGTTGGTGCAGTGATCCTCTCTCATCTATTAACTTCTCTTTTTCTCTTCTCAAATGGAGTTTGTTTTGGTAGCTGGCAGCTAACATTTCCAGCCTACCATACTAGCTGAGTAGTACTGATCCAGGACATTCTGAGAAAAACATGGTAGCCTAGAGCCAATGAAAGTGACTCTATTTCAACATGAAGTTGTTGTTTTACAGTTTTAAAAGGGAGGGAGAAATCTGTACCACCAGTGGTAATCTCCCATCCTCAAATCACTAGCAGTTTTGAGAGCATAGCCTGAAGTACAACCAAACATCTCATTTGAAAACTCATTTTTAGACATTGCACAGCTCCCATTCATTTGAAAGAACAAGAGAAAATCCTGGTCAGTTATGCCTCATGTTGCCTAGTGGCAGGTAGAAATGGTGTTGGCATTTTCTACCTCGTGTACTTAAATGTCTGGAGATAGCCTAGCCTTTGTGGAAGTTGCAGTAGAAAATATCCTGTCTTGCTTGATCTAGGGCCTGAGGCTTTATTCTTTTGCAGACCAGACAGTGACAGAGTTCGGGCAGATGTGGTGCTGGTGTTTAAGTTCATTGGTACTGATAGTAGAGTGGCACTCTGGACAAGTGTTAACACTGTTTTGCTGAGGAGACTGAAGTTGCCAACATGGCCCTTGAGCATTGATCTTTCATCTTACAAGCTTTCAGGTAAGTCTAATTAGATGAGCTTTTCAAGCTGGTTCAGAATTTTTGTGGTGCCTTCTTTCTTTGCATTGCACTCTGAAGGGTATCTTGCTGTCATAAATCTATTCGCTTTCCCTGCTTCTTGGCTTTTAAAATGCCTGTGGTCCACGCAGCTTCCCCACCATGAGGATAAGGGACTGTTGGTCCTCCTTCAATTTCTTGCTGTACTGACCTTACCCTCTTGATCTTCCAGGCTCTGACACAACCCACTAGGTACCACTCTGCCAAACTTTCATCAGCTCTGCCCTCTGGCTGTGTTCAGGAAATGTGGAAGCAAAGGAGTGCAACTTTAGAGATGAATGGGCAGGGCTGGCTCCAGGTCTTTGAGGACCCTTGGGGAAGACACCCTCAGAGTGGCATAGTGTTAGTGTTGGACTGGAACTTGAGAGATCTGAGCCATGAAGCTCTCTGGGTGACTTTGAACCAATCATGGATTACCAGCTTAACCTACTTCACATGGTTGTTGAAAAGATAGAATGGAGAGGAAGATAATGTAAACCTTCTTGTGTACCTTGGAGAAAGAAAGGTGGGATAATAATAAATATAATAAATAGGAGTGCCCTCTGCCAATAAGCCTACCTTTTCACACACACACCTGTTGTCACCAGATGCTATTGGTCTTCATCTTATCATTGTGATGCTTGCTTGAGAGGAAAAGAGTGACTGAGGAAGGAGGCCAGGGCACCTGCTGCTGCTTTTCACAACCATTGCTATCTGATCCATAGTGAAAGGTGGGTGAATAGGCAGTTGTCATGCACAAGTTTTCCTCCCTTCACACATTCAAGGCAACAAACTCTTTCTTTGTGAAAGACATTTTATTCATCAAACACAATCCCCACAGAATATATCTCTGAGCATGCCCTGAGAGATTTGTTGAACCCAATCTAAACATCTGCTTCCAGAAACATTCCTTTTGAGTATGTCTGGGTCCAGTCCCTTCTGAAGGACCTATGTGGAAGAGAATTCCTCTCTTTTTTGTATGTCTAGTTGGCTAGCCTCCTGTCCTGATGCTGCATCATTGGGTCAAGAGTTGTACCAGGTTTGTCTGACTGAGAGCTCCACTCCTATGACCCCACCTGCATGAGCACATGGGGAGAGTGGCCTTAAGATATGTGCCACTTCTTCCATCTCAAAGTCTGACACCCCACATCCCCATGCTCCCTCTGTCTCCTTCCCTTTATTCTTTGACTTGGAGGGGGTGTCACGCAGAGGTGGGTTGAGACCTGTTTTCCCCTGTAGAAGAAGGCAGGATGCATTCCAATGGAGCAAAGCTCAGGGAACCAAGGTTCAATCTGGATGCCAGGAAGCACTTTCTGAGGGTTAGGACCCTGAGGGTATGGAATGGGCTTCCACAGGAGGTCGTTGAGGCCCCATCGATGAGAGTGTTCAAGGATAGACTGGACATGCACTTGGTAGGTATTTCATGAGCGGAGCTGACTGGAGCCGGGGGTCAGACTAGATGGCCTGGGGGGCACCCTTCTGACCTATGTTTCTATGTTTTTATGTTTGGAGTCCAGATAAGTTTGACCCATGAGTGCACACCATCAACTGCCACCCTCATTCCCATTCTCATTGAAGTGGTGGTGAGGAGGAGCAAGTGCTGGGGGCCTTTGCTGAGTCACAGTAGGTGCTCAGTCTTGCTTTTTTTGCTGCCCACTCTGATGAAATTCACACCCAGTGGGTGATGGATAAATTATGCATATATTAGAATAAGCTGGTGTTGCCGTTATTATACAGTGCCTTGGAGAATTGTCCATCCCTCCTCCCCCCGTTAGATGTTCCACATTTTGTTGTGTTGCAACTTGGAAGTGACATGGATTTAAATGGCATTGTTATCACTTACTGTACACAAGATACTCAACACAGTAAAGGTACAAAATATTTTTATTGCAGCACAAAAGTTTAGAAAAGAAAAAGCTAGTAATAATTAGTTGTATAAATATTCATCCCGTATCTGCACTTGGCAGTACCACCTTTAGCAGCAGCTACAGCTGTGTGTCTTCTTGGGCACATCTCTATTTTTTTTACTTAAAAAAACCCTGTTTACTTTTTCCCTTTGCTCCCTTCCCCCCTTAGTTTTATCCCCCTTTGTTTTCTTCCTTGTAACACACGCCCATTTACTGGTGGGACTGTGCTGTTAACCTTCAGGGAAGATAGGACAAAGCAGGCCCAGCAAACTAGAATCAAAAGGCAGCAGTAAAATTGGACTGAAAAGACTCTCTGCAGTGGTGGTGACTTGCAATGTCTGTGCAATGTATGTTTTCCTGCCTGAGGTCTACATGTGCAGCGGGTGCAAGGTAGTAGCCCTGCTAGAGGAAAGGTGAGAGCACTAAAGCAGAGAGTGCCCAGCATCAAGGGAATAAAAGGAGATGAACAGTTCTTAGACAAAGTGGTGGAGCTGCAGTAACTAAGAGCTGTACAGAAGCAAGAAGTGCAACAACAAGCTGTAGCAGAAGAAGAGACTCCTGAAGGAAGGGAAAATGAGGAGGAAACTCCCTGGAAAAAGGTGACTGTTCGATTTAGAAGCACTAGAAGGCATTTTGCAATGGAAGCAGTGGAACTCTTGAACTACTGTGGAAGGAACTGCAAGACATGCCATGCAACACTGAATAAGAGGCTGAAGGTCAACCAAGTAGTGGCAGTGATACCAAGGCTTGCAAGAACAAGAAGAGAAGAATATTAGTTGTGGGAGACTCCCTCTTGTGTGGGAGGGAAACACAAGTACGGACTGCTTCAGTATGCTGTCTTTCAGGAGGACAGATTAGTGATATAACTGAAAGATTTCCAAAGTTCATTCAGCCCACTGACAGTATCCCTTCCTTCTTATACATGCAGGAACAAATGATGCTGCCAAGCGGAGTTTTGAAGAGATCATGTCAGACTTTGATCTCTCTTTGCCTTTTCTGCCTCAGAGGATGTCATAGAATCCTGTTATCACTGCCAAGCTTTTACCAAGCAGGCAAGAAAGCACCAAGCTGACCAACTAAAAGACTTTGGAGCTGCCCCCTGCATGTGGAGGATCCTCAACCATCTATGTCAGGGGCCCCATTTCCCCCAACCACAGAAAGGAGATGTTAGATCCTCCACTGGCTAAGATTCCTAAAACAATGAAATGGGGGGGGGGGGGACCAGACAAGAAGGCAAAATCCTCTACATTGCTCACCCTTAAGGAGTGCTAAGAGTGGACAAAAACTCATGGATGTTCCACCATCTGTCAGCCTCCTGTGTATTGCTGTTGCAAGAATAGAGCTGCCTTCCTCCTCTGACACCGAGGCAGTCTCAGGAGCTTCCCTCCCAATTGAAAAGCACCTCGATTTCATAGGGGGAGATTCATTATCCAGCTCCAGCTCCACTCACAAAACCCGAACACCCATTAGTACACAGGCAAACCTTACCTGTGCCCTCGATATCGAGCATATTTCTCCAATTGGAACAGCAGAAACATAGACATCGTTCTCACTCTCTTTTGACCAAGACCTCACACAGAAAACTCTCTTGTGACACCATGGGGACTTCAACACCAACTACTATGTCAATTAATGGGGATCCGTCGACTCCAGGCACGAAGGCTCCCATTGGAGCCTCTGGGGTTCCGACTGGGACCTAAGTGCGCTCCTCCTTTTCCAAGCCTGCTTGAGAACCTGCCCAGACAGCCTTCCCTTGCAAGAAGCAACCTCCTTCTAGCCTACTTAACCATTGCACAGACTGAACCGAAGATCAGTCTGACAGAGACCAATTCACCTCAGTTTCTGTCGTCTCCTCTCTGGACTTACCACCTGGTACATCTGTACCAGCATTACATTTTCCTTGACCACCAGTTTCTTTTCTTCCCAAGTTCTCTGCATGGCTCACAGTCTTGGGCTTAACCCTAGACTGGAACCCACTAGAGTGAAAGACCCAGTCTTTGAAGCGGTCTATGAGGAGTCTGCTGGTCCAGTAACCATCCCACTTCTACCAGCCCTGCTCAATGCAGTGCGCCATGAATGGAAATCTCCTGCATCAGTAGACCCTCCACCTTGCTGACTCGAAACTATGTATCAAGTTCAAGAGAAGGATGCTGAGTTTCTTTTTCAGCACCCTCAACCTAATTCTATAATTGTTGAGTCTCCTCAAGCTCACACTAGATAACTGCTTATCCTTTGGATAAGGAAGGCAGGCATCTTGATGCTATCAGTCACCATTTTTACTCTTCAGCTGCTCTCTCTATAAAATTGGACAACTATCAAACTATGATGGGCAGATACCATCTCATGCTTTGGGACAGAGTAGTGTTCTTATGTTCTTCTTTGCTTAAGTCAGCTCAAGATCTAGCAAATGAGATTAAAAATGAAGCCACTCATCTGGCCAGACAGGAGATCCACACAGCTTGACACCAAGTGGAATGTGGAGCCTGAAACATGGCAGGGACAATAGGTCTCCATTGCTCTGCATGGCTCCAATCCTCTGGTGTGAGGTTCTGAGGCAGCTTCAGGGCTCCCTCTGCTGGCCAAGGGCCAGCGGAGCAGCTCTGGTGGTTGCAGGATTCTGACCTCTGTCCACTGCAGCTGGCAGGACTCTCATGAGTTCCACCTGGGGAGCCCTGGGGAAGAGCTATATAAGAACCAGGTCTTCCCCTCAGAAGCTACCTTGGTAACAAAGATCTCCTGTTGTTGGTGAAGCCCTTCCTGGTCTGCTAGACTTGGAACTCTGCTCCTGATTCCTGGAACCCCCAGACCCTGCCTGCACCTCTCCCTGACTGGTCTGCCTTCCTTGTTTCTTTGACCCTCAGCCTGCTCTGGACTATGCTACCTGTCTGTATGGACTTGGCTTATATATTGACTTCTGACTTGACCTTTGGATTGTGTATTGGACTTGTCATGCCCTGTCTGCTTGGGTCCTGGAGCCTTTACCCTGTTAGTCAGCTGTCCTCACCCTGGATGCTTACATCTGGTCTCTCTGGTGAGGACCCTTGCCACTACTACGAG